AAAATCTTATTTAGTAGTTGTTTTAAAACCTATTTTTATTTTCATTTGGGTGTTTCTTCTGGTCCTCTTCTCCTGCAAAGCGAGATGCTTTCTTGTGACGACCCCATTACTTACATAATTTGAGACTCTATTCCAAACTATTTGCCTCTTAGGCTTATAGAACCTATCATATTTCTTATAGAACCTATCATATTTCTCCTTTCTGGCCTTTGTTATTGGCGTTATCATATCATCCCAATATAGCCTAACTTGTATTAAGAGAAATCAAAGAGGAATAAGACCTTGAAAAAGGTACAGGAATTTTATCCCTTTTTAATGAACCTCCTATCATTTTTAGATGCTCAAGCTGGCCATTGGTCAAAATGACTCCTTTGACTGACAAAATCCCCTGATATATGCTTTTTTGAGAGCAGAAATAGAGTAGTGATACTTCTGAGGTCCCGAACTAAGAGAGAAATGGTTCTTAAAGTAGTTATTTCACCAGTATGGGATATGCTAAGAAAATCCAAGGGGTTATTTTAGTAGCTTTTAGATATTCTTTTAAGTTAAAAACGCAATTTATATGGGTCTTATTTCATGCTCATTTGTATATATTAGCTGCACACGCAGACGTGATGCTATGTAAGATGTAATTAATTTCCTTCCTCCTTATTTTGATTCTATCATTCGCTTACTTTACAGATTTCTTCCTTATTTATCCAGTTAATCTCTTATCTATTTTCAAAACTCCTTATATGAATCTTGATTCGTATTTCACAATAAAGCTGTGCCATAATTCACCCCAAGCTCTAATATATAAATTTAAATGCAAAGATAGGATTGACTTATACTCCTGCTCGTTATGCTCTATATCAAGCTGTATCTATTGCAATCTCTATAACACCCATATCCAAGTTGCTCCAATATCTACTGGCACTTTCGTGACCTACTCATACGATATATAGTAATGCCCTCAATTTAAATGGAAAATTCGAATTTGTTTCTTTGACCCATCCCTTTATAAATAAAAAATGAGAATTGACTCCTGTAAGCCACTGAGTCCCAGAACACACATGACTTTGTTTGAAATCCTGTTGTGGGCGCAGATAAGGCCTAGGCGAGGTCTACTCTGGAGTATAATCTGGATGAGGAAGTATTTTTGAGCGTAAGGCTTTTTGAAATGCAGCTGTTTCTTTACTTCATTTTGGAAAATTCAACGAAATTTACTTTAGCTATCTTTTAAAATAATAATTTGACAGTCTTCTCAAGTTTGAAGACCTATTTTTTTCTGAAGAGTGGAGTTAAGCTAGCGCTCATTGTCTAAGACTATTTCTTTTTTGTTAACTTGCATGCTGAATGTGTCAAACATGGTACTGTGATCTGCTTCCTTATGACAAAATGGCTGGTATGTTTTCTTGTCAATTACTTTAGGATAGGAGTAAATTACTGCTGTTTATATCTCCATATCAAAACATTCATTGTACTCCATTGCTTGCATTTAATTACCGAGTTAAAGTTTAGGTATGCAAGCAATATAGAAGATGTTTTCATGCCATAACTTGATGCTTTTGTTGTTACGCTATTGGAACATTATAGTGATAAATAAGTTCTTTCACTTAATTACAAATTAATTAATTAATTAAGCCAGACACAGGGCCTCAAAGAAGAAGATACAATGTTGGTATGGATGAGAAAGAAAATAACTGAGTCATGGGTTTGAAGCCTAAGAAGAGCAATATTTACATGCATTGGCATGGGCATGGACATTGGCACCATATGCTCTAAATTATCGACAAGAATTGAAGGCTCTTAGGCAGCCAGATTTCCGACAGTAAAGCAGTGGTTTTTATGTTTAGCAGCGATCAATTGACTGGCTGAATAAAGGTTGGGAGCTCTGCAAACCGTCCCTGATACCGGTGGTGAAGATGATTACGCTTCACTGAAACCACACATTCTGGCGGATATTAAGGGAGACGAGAGCACAGAATTGTGTGAAAAGATAGATGGGCCATATAAAATGCAACCCTAGAACAAAAAATATGGACGAGGAGTGATGCCACAACGGTTGAACATAAAGTTGGCCCAAAGGATTGCCTTCTCTGGTCAATTTGATACGTTTTAACTCAGTGCTCAAGATGACACCTCTTACTGATGATGAAGACGAAACGTTTCGGAATGTAGCAAGTCATTGGTCCAATGGTGAAAAGCATGAATACTTAGGCAGAAAACACAGGACTAGGTACGTTCCACAAGGTCTCCTTGACATTCCGGCCAAGCTGCGAAAACGAGGTCGAACTAACACCATAAAGAATGAGCTTGCCTTTAAGCATAATCATTTACGTTTCGGTAGAGCTCTTTTAGTTTACTCCATGTGTATGCTACTCAACTATTATTTTCTCTATTACTATTCACGACTTCTTTTTTACCTCTTCTTCATTATCATTAGGTGTTATCTCATCTCAACTTGATAATGCGCTTTAGCATTGGTGAATCAATCTCAACTCCTTCCTTTGAGCCATCATCGCTCACAATTTTTGGCAAGCAGACCCATCCTTTGGCACCCAACGCTACAGCTTTATCGTCTTCTGACGCATCCTGGGCCCCATCATCCTATTCTCTTATGCCGAACACTGTTCAGACCCACTCAATTCAGTCTCAATCGAAAGTTCCACGCAGTCTACCACTATCCTCAAATTCCGCCTTCACAGAATTTCGCGCACATTCAGATATGGACATGCTAAAGAATAAATCGGCTATGGACGCTTCGGTATCTTCACTTAGCCTGCATCAGCTGACCCCACGGCTGATCGAGTGGGAAGTTTTGGTATCAGGTTTACTGCATTTGGTCGGTCAGCTGTTTCCTGTTTGCTGGCTGGACGAATTTAGACAACAGGGTAGGCGTTATCTTTATGAGTATATATTGAAGAGCTAATGAAAAAAGAGGGGAATTGTGAAAATACTATTTTTGCCAATGCATGGTAGCCAATCTCTTTGTAATATATGATGTAGGACCTGAATTGCAAAATAACTTTAGTCAAAATGGGCTAATATATTTGCGTTTATTATAGTCAGGCTATTTCGAAGTTTAGATTCTTTTAAGAATTTGGCAACAAAAAGCTATATAGAAGTTGTTTGCACTTGGTTTCGCAACTTGGTTATGTTGGTAGAAAGACTTAGAGGAATGCAACTAGTCCGGAGTCCATTGTATGCATGATAATTTCCAAAGTCGGACCGTGGACGTGGTACATTCCCAGGCGTTTTGCCGGCATCGTAGTCGGGATCGTCAGAGACACATGTAAGGCCGATTCTTTGACCAAACGTGTGCTAAACAGTTGTGGCATCTCCCTTTCTGCCCTAGCCTATTCACATTTCCTATATCCTCCTATCACGCCTTCGCCGTGCATATTTCGATGTAGTTTGGTGTGCTCCTTTGAGCGGCATTCATGAAAACCCTTCACACTTCACTCTGTCGTTCTCACCCCCTTTACCCTTGTGCTGGGAATGTTGATCAGAGTCTGCTATATTGTTACGCAGTCCTCCTTCCTTACGTCTTATCACAATCTCTCTCTTTCCCCGTAAGATCCGTCTGCTCTCTCCCTCGTTCATGTATTTCATTCGACCCCTGTCACTCCATCTTTGCTACTCGAGGCGTTATTCGCATACCACGCTACATCGAAATAAACACGGTGAAAATTGTAATAGTGAAGGTGTGATAGGAGGATATAGGAAATGTGAATAGCCCAAGGCAGAAGGGTAGATAACACAACTGTTTAGCACACGTTCGGTCGAAGGATCGGCTTCACTTGTCCCTTTGACGAGTTGTTGTGTGGTGCTAGGAATGGCGAGACTCACTGATGATACCGGTGAAACGTCTGGAAATGTACCACGTCCACGGTCCGACTTTGAAAATGATCATGCATATAATGAACTCCGGACTGGGTGTGTTCCTCTAAGTCTTCCTACCAATATGACCAAGTTGCGAAAACAAGGTCAAACTACCTCTATAACGCTATATAGTTAACACTTAACAACAGAAATGTTTCATTTAACATAAGTTTGTATTGATACCTGCTTCTTTATCCTTTTATTTATTGATATGCACCAGTTATGCTGCCTTGGATTCACAAATTATCGGAACTAAACAATAAAGCTCCAAATCTTGATCAGAGATTGCGCATCGCCGGACAATTATTAGAAATTTTCTCCATTGCATCCTACAGTGAGCTTTTCATATTTTTAATGCACTCAAGACTAGGCCAAAACATTTACCCAAAATTTTTGACGATATACATTTGTTAATTCTTGTGATTTTATCGTAGATATGTAGACCAATATTGTGTAGCCGTTTGTTTTGTCGCAGTCTCCTTTAGCTGTATAGTGTTTGCTTGACCTTGTTTTCGCAACTTGTTCGGAATGACAAGGAGACCTTGCTTAACGTACCTAGTCCTTCTTCGTCTACCATAATATTCATGATTTCCTGAATTTCTGGCGCCATCAGTAGCAGAGAGTTACAATTTATCAAAGTGACAAGTTAAGACAATCCAATTGACCAATTTTCTCTTCAACCCTAGCAGAATTACTCATCGCCCCTATTTTTGTCCTACTTTCTAGAGCTGCACCTCTTTCTCTTAACCAAACTTCATATGGCCATCTACCTATTCACGCAATTCTGTGCTCCCGTCTCCTCCAACGTCCCCCAAGAGTGTATCGCTACAAGTGGGTTTAGTGAAGCGTAATCATCTTCACCACAGGTACCAGGTGTCGTTTGCAGAGCTCATGACCTTCATTCAGTCTCTTCTTCTCCTACTCCGCTTGTCTGTTGTTCGCTGCTAAACATAAAAAGCACTGCCTGAAATCTGGCTGCCTAAGATACTTCAATTTCAGTCCCCGATTACGCCATACTCGAGGATTTAGAGCGGGTGATGCCCATGACTATGCCATTGCCCGGGAGTCTTCCTCTCCCTAATCTTCAAACTCATGACTCAGTTATTCTTTTTCTCATCCCTACCCGCATTGTCTCTCAATCTTTGGAGTTCTGTGTTCGGCTTAACCACTGGTGTGAAAATGCACCGCTTTCCTTTTCTAGCTCATAAATCGCGAAAAGCACATTCTTTTCTTCTCTCAAGTTTATAGTCCCATCAAATCCAATAGTACTAGGATGTTGTTAATGTATGTTGGTTGGTATCCCCTGTAGTCAGGCCTGTCACATGTCGCCTCTCATTAAGGCGCACGCATGAAAAATGCACACTGGTGACATGGTGTTTGTTGATCCTTGAGCTAATTATCTTCCCAGTCTCTCCGAGGTATTTTGTTTACAGTCCTTGTAGTTTATGCTCTACATTCCGGAGCACTCCATTTTGTTGACTTATTCGTGTTGTGCGGGCAAGCTGGTGAAGTGGGTTATCCTCTCCTTCAAAATCTTATGAATATTCCGTTTTCATACTTTCGGCCGCAGCTTACAAGCCAATTCACAGGGGGTTAGAGATATCCCTCGTTTTTCCTCTGTTTCCCTTGCTTAGTTTTCATAATATCCTTCCTTCAATCTGTTCATCACCATCCATATGTTGCGCTGTATTGCTTCTTCCCAGAGCTCAGAATCAATAAGTCGAAGGCTTTTTATGACCATACTACTTAGTATTCCTATCTTTATTCCATAAGTAAGCTTAGAATGGAAGTTAAGGCTTATCCCTGCCTGCGATTTCTTTCGGAAAAGTCGTTTCTTGAGAGTCTCCTCGGAGCGAATCACCTCCACATCCAAGAACGGTAAGTGCGTGTTCTCTTCCACAACGATGGTAACTTTGACTTTTTGATACATATCGTTTAAAGAGATCAGAAAATCGTATAATTTTTGTTTCTATGCGACCGAATTGCTAAGTATTCATTCAAATATCGCTTA